AATGTGAAAATAATATCAGAGAAAATGTTTGTCAAGTAGATAAAACACAGAGCACTTTTGCTCCCCTCCCACCCCACCCAAAAACAAGGTCAGTTCAGGTTGGAGAGCATGCACTAATGCAGGATGTTGCCGCACCCACCACATGACAAAACACCTCGGGATCCCGGTTGATGAACCCCCCAGGTCGACACGCAGTTCAGTCCCACTGTCCGGAAGTCATTACACAAACAAGAGAGATGTAAATGGCATGCACTGCTTACGGCACATTGTCACCTCAGGGATGAGAACCTGAGTACAGTGCGTGATACCTCAGCACCACACTAGTCCAAATAATCCAGTGGGAGCTTTTTTCCAGTGGCTGATTCACTGAGCAATATTTTTAATTCAGCAGAATTTCAGGGACATAAATGAAAACATAAATGTAATGTTTAAAGGGTAGCCTTAATGATTTGTACATTATGAAATACAACACTGTAATAATGATAAATTCCAGAAAGTCAAAGTTACATATGTCAGATTAAAAAAGTATTTGCAAACTCATTTCCTGTATTTCCTGTTGTCTTCTGGCATATTCAATGTATGTGAAATAAGCCGTATCACCCAAGGTGTTACAGGATGTGGCTTAAACCTCAAGTGACTTATGCACAAGGGCATAACTCTGGGTTAAACATTGGGGGGTTGAGGTCCCCACCCATTCGTCATGACAATATGATTATTTGGAGGATGTTGTGTTGTATTGGACCCCCCCCATAATTTACACCCATGCTTATGCAGGCTACTTGTCATGTCTGCTCATCGTGCATCATATTGCACTAAAAACAAGAGAGAGGTAAGGGGCTTGCATTGCTTATAGCACATTAGCTCACGGATGGGAACCTGAGTACAGTGCGTGATACCTCAGCACCACACTAGTCCAAATAAACCAGTGGGAGCTTTTTTCCAGTGGCTGCAGTGCCAATCCTGCCACCGACTTCCCTGTAAGTTGGAGGACCTGTTTGTAGGGCTGGATGTATATTAAAATTATATCTAGAACAAAGCAATTGCAGGTTAAGGACCTTGCTCATGGGCCCAATGGAGTAGGATCACCATTAGCATTCATAGGATTTGAACCAGCGACCTTCCCATTACTGGAACAGATCACTAGCCTCAGAGTCACCACTCCACCCTACAAATACAAGACTACAATCTAATTCAATTTAGAATTACAACACTAACAGAATGGATTGCTNCCCTCCCACCCCACCCAAAAACAAGGTCAGTTCAGGTTGGAGAGCATGCACTAATGCAGGATGTTGCCGCACCCACCACATGACAAAACACCTCGGGATCCCGGTTGATGAACCCACCAAGTCGACACGCAGTTCAGTCCCACTGTCCGGAAGTCATTACACAAACAAGAGAGATGTAAATGGCATGCACTGCTTACGGCACATTGTCACCTCAGGGATGAGAACCTGAGTACAGTGCGTGATACCTCAGCACCACACTAGTCCAAATAATCCAGTGGGAGCTTTTTTCCAGTGGCTGGTTCACTGAGCACTATTTTTAATTCAGCAGAATTTCATGGACATAAATGAAAACATAAATGTAATGTTTATAGGGTAACCTTAATGATTTGTACATTATGAAATACAACACTGTAATAATGATAAATTCCAGAAAGTCAAAGTTACATATGTCAGATGAAAAAAGTATTTGCAAACTCATTTCCTGTATTTCCTGTTGTCTTCTGGCATATAAGCCGTATCACCCAAGGTGTTACAGGATGTGGCTTAAACCTCAAGTGACTTATGCACAAGGGCATAACTTTGGGTTAAACATTGGGGGGTTGAGGTCCCCACCCATTCGTCATGACAATATGATTATTTGGGGGATGTTGTGTTGTATTGGACCCCCCCATAATTTACACCCATGCTTATACAGGCTACTTGTCATGTCTGCTCATCGTGCATCATATTGCACTAAAAACAAGAGAGAGGTAAGGGGCATGCACTGCTTATAGCACATTAGCTCACGGATGAGAACCTGAGGGCAGTAGGTGATACCTCAGCACCACACTAGTCCAAATAAACCAGTGGGAGCTTTTTTCCAGTGGCTGCAGTGCCAATCTTACCACCAATTTCCCTGTAAGTTGGAGGACCTGCTTGTAGGGCTGGATATATATTAAAATCATACCTAGAACAAAGCAATTGCAGGTTAAGGACCTTGCTCAAGGGCCCAATGGAGTAGGATCACCATTAGCATTCATAGGATTTGAACCAGCGACCTTCCCATTGCTGGAACAGATCACTAGCCTCAGAGTCACCACTCCACCATGTCAATACAAAACTACAATCTAATTCAATTCAGAATTACAACACAAACAGAATGGATTGCTGCAGTGAACCATCCAGCAAGATGTTTCTGTTGTATGATTTAATCTAGACTACATTTGCATAAACATTACCTCACTTAACACTAGAATTCCTGGAAAAACGAAGATCTCCTCACCAGGAGCCTGCACCTGCCTCTCGTTACGCCTCCTCGTCATCCCTATAAATAAGTGTTTCCCTGGTCCGTCATTAATGTTGTGTTGCGTTGTGTGTTCAGGCACAGAGTTTCTCCCTTTTGCTCCCCCGTCATCTAGTTTTGTTTATACTTTCAATAAATCCTCTTTTGTTTTCCCTGATACCCAAGTCTGTGTTCTCCGTCTTGCCTCGCTACATGACATGAGATACCATCAACAAATTAACTGGTCTATATTCTAATGCAAGGGTGAAAACTAAAATACATGAATTTCTTCCAACAAGTATTTATTACTTTTTTTAATTAACAGAGAACAATCAAACATAAAACACTTATCACATAAGTTGTTACTGTGTTAAGTTAAATAAAGAACAGTCAGGTCAGGTCAGGTTGGGGAGCATGCGCTGATGAAGTGCATTGTCGCACCCACCACATGGTGAAACTCCTTGGGATCCCGGCCAGTGATCCCCCAGGCAGACACACGGTCCAGTTCCACCCTCTGGAAATGGCCATCCATCTGCCGCAGCCAGGTGTTACGTTGGCGTCCCCTTGGCCTGGTCCAGCCGCTTGGGTCCACAGCATTGAGTATCCTGTAAGCCGGATCACCCTCAGGGAAACGCACCACATGGCCATAGTGCCGTAACTGACGCTCCCTCACAATGCAGGTAATGTGCCTCATTCGGGACTCCTCTAGCAACCACTCATTCGACACAAAGTCAAACCAGCAGTACCGAAGGATTCTCCAAAGAGACACAGTACCGAAGGAGTCCAGTCTTCATCTCACCTTACTGGATAGCGTCCATGTCTCACAGCCATACAGCAAGACAGGGTCGACCAGGACTCTAAAGACTTGGACCTTTGTCCTCTTGCAAAGATATTGGAGGTGCCACACACCCCTTTCCAGTGACCTCATGACCTCCATGCTCTTCCAATCCGTCTGGTGACTTCATATGAAGAGAAACCAGAGACATGAATGTCACTGCTGAGGTCGGTAAATCTCTCGACAAGGTCGACATTCTCCCCGCAGACAGACACACTACTGATGGCTGTGGCTAAGAAGTCATTAAAGGCCTGGATCATGGTCTTTATCCAGGACACTTGCAATCCTGCTCGGTGCCCTGCAAAATGAAACACCTCCTTCTCGGAACACTGACAACACCAACACAACCCTTGGCAACCTTCAGGGTCTTATCGCGTAAGGTCTCCCACATCACATTAGAGTCAGCAGTCACACCCAAGTTTGCAAGTTCCTCACACAAACAGCATGCAAACTCATCAGAAACAGCCTGATATTGGAGTCTGGCTAAGGCCAGCCTCATACTCCTAGTAGGTGATATCCTACTGGATCTAAGCTGAATCTTTAGAGTAGCAACAACAAGTCTCTGGTCAGAATTCACAAACTGGGCACTTCTGTGGACCCTGCAGTTCTGCAGGAGCCTCCAGCTCCTGCCCACAAGGATGTGATCGATCTCCTTAGCTGCACCACCAGTATTGGAATACCAAGTTCAACGATGCGGCTTAGGACGTTGGAACCAGGATCCAGCGACCTGCAGCCCCTGACCTTTCGCAAAGTCAAGGAACATGGAGCCACTTTCACCCTGGTCTCCAGACCCATGGGGACGAATACCATCCTCACAGCCAGCCTTGTCAGTGCCAGTGGTCGCATTGCATTCACCCATGACCAGAGGAGCCTCACCTCGCGGGCACCATTCAACCACCGAGCGAAGTTGTGAGTAAAATGTCTCCCTCAAAACGAGATCACTCACCGCGGTTGGAGCATACACTGAGACAACAGCAGAGGAAGATGGTCATTTTGCCGGAGAGACAAGATGTTCCACGCGCCTTCCCGGATGGGTCACCTCAAACTGGGACCCAAGTGCCACCATGCAGCAAGCATCGCCTCAGCACCACACCAGCCCTGATCCCCAACAGGCCTGACCCTATTGGCTCAAAGGCTCCCGAATGCTTTCCCGCATGCACTTCCTGGTGCGTGCCACCTTCCTGCAGCAGAGCTACTCCCGCGGAGAGCAGAGGAGTATCACGCTTGTTTGAATTGAGCAGTTGTGAGTTGTTTTACGGTGCCTGAAGTGCCAATCCCGCCACCAAACCCCAAAGAAATTGTTTCCATGCAAGTAGGAGGACCACTTTGCTGCATGGGTGTACAAACTAAAAAATAGAGCCCGACCGATAAAGGATTTTGAAGGCCGATACCGATACTAATATTTGTTGGTTTTAAAATCCGATATTCCGATATATCGGCCGAGATATATATATATATATATATATATATATATATATATATATATATATTTTAATTTCAGAAACGCGCAACAAGACATTAACAGATTTCCCTAACATTAGTTATTTGTAGTTATTTATGAGTTTTAACTAACATAATATGATAATNCGGTGTGCGCGCCTTTGGGGGGGGGTTCTGTCACGCCCGGCTCCGTACGATCCTTGTGTGTGCCACGCCCCCTCATTACCTCGTGTCAATTCCTGTTTGTGATCACCTGTGTCCTGTTATTTCTGGATAGTCTTTTGTATTTAGTCCGAGTCTCAGTCTGCCTTCCCCAGATCCGTCATTGTAGTGTCCGTGGATGTCTCTGCTTGTTCGTCTCTTGCCTAATAAACCCCTGATTACCCGTGAGTACGGCTTGCTCTGCTGCTTTCCTGCTCGCCTCCCTGCCGACAACTGACACTATCTCTCTCTCGTGCGCACACACACACACACACAAACCAATGTATAATTGAATAAATTATTGGTGGTAATTTCCTTGCATTGCTAAAAATGAACTGTTGTGAACTAAAGTCTGAATCATACTGTTCTATTGGATTTTTGAGGTTTTGTAAATGAATAAAGTAATTAAAAATAGATGTAGGAAAGGGGGTGAAACTATTCACAATGAAATTTAAGAGTAGAAAACTCCACCCATTTCACAAAAGTCCACCCATTTATACATTTATGGCTACACCACTGCTAAGCACACATTCTTTGTGTGGTATTTACAATGGCATCAAATTTGTTTTCGCCGCTTATTTCTGCTAGCGAAGATTTAAAAAAAAATTTAATTTTATCTGCTAGCCTCTTGATACTGGAGAGGTTCCTGGAAACAGAATTTTTGTGTCCCTGCAATTTCAAACTGAATGCATTTTTTTCTTTCCTATTATTTTTCTTTCCCTGCTTATCTTTAATCTTTCTTTTTATAGAACCTAACCAGCGGCCCATAAAATACTGGATTATGAAAACCATTTTCCCAGGATGCACATGGATAACTGTGCTGCTGTTAGATGGAAAATATCTTTCATGTTTATTCACTTACTGGGATGGAGAATATTTGCCCATGGACACTAATTCTGTGCAAAAGTGGTGCAAACCACATGATACAAATAAAACATCAAATGAAGAAAAGCTGAATTTCACTAAAGTAGGATACATATGGTCTCAGGTAAGAACTGCACTTAAAAGTTAGTACCTTAGAGGTAATGATGCCTGTAGCTCTCTGCATGTAAACACAATTCTCTGGCATTTTTAAGTCTTTCTTGTATGTCATGCTGCTGTCAGCTATGAGTAAGAATATCTTATTGGTGTGTTTTTTTTCTTGTTTTTTGACTCAGATTGCAGCCTTTGTCTTTTTTCTTGCCATTTCGCTGGGAGCATTCTTCTATAAGAATGATGATGAGAACTCCCAGTCCGATGCAACAGTGCAAAGAGTTACTCTTACACGCATGGAGCCAGTGAAAGTGAAATACCATCAAGAAGCATCAACCAAACAACACACCATTGAACTTATGCGGGGAGAAATTGACGAGCCAAGTGGCAACACACTGCTAATGAGAGAACCTCTACAAGAAGAAACTGAAATGATCCAAGGAGAATGAAGTAACATTTTTGGTTAATTCTGACCCAGCTTATCATTGCCTGTCCTCTTTGCTTTCCAGTTACTTAGTACTGTGCATGAACATGTGTATTAGGATGAACTCACGGATGATTACGTCGTCCATGATTCACCCATAATATTATTGTGCCAAGGTTGAACTGTATAAACGTGTTTTTTTACTGATTACTTGTATAACTTGTTTGTCATTAATAACTTGTTCCTTATAAAAGGGGCCAGGATGCTTCCCTAGTCGTAAAAAATCTTATCCTGTTTAAAGACCCTCGTCCTGTTATTTCTGATTTACAGGATGCTTATGCTGTTGATAAATTGCTTACTTTGTTTTTATAAGGGCTTCTTCCTGAAGAGGAGAATAAGTGGTACCATATGTTGTACCTAGGATTGACATGTGAGATGCTTATCTTGTCCTCAAGGAAGAGGGAGGATCGGTATGCGGGACACTTATCTTGTGTTTAGGAAACACAGGACCTTATCTTGTTTAGGAGGGTTGGGGAGGCATTGAGCAAGCAGCATTACCTGTATGGAAGTGGGAATTGGAGAACGCATTGCCTAAGGGGAGGGGTGAGCCTGGCCAGCTCGTCTCCTGCCAACACGCAGCACCCAATTCAGTATAAAGGGAGGGGGGAAAACTCAGTATTGACTGGAGCTCAGCCGTGGGATAGAGTGCGCATCGCCCGGCACTTTCTCGGGACTCACGTGTTGGTCTC